CAGTATGGCATATCTGAGCCTGTATGCATCTTTCTCTCACTCTTCTGAGGTTTTAAGGACAAACTCTTAATTTCCCCAACTGTTTATTTATTTATTTATTTTTCTCCCCAAGAGGTTATAAGTTAGATTTATGAAGACAAAAAGACTTCTTACAACTGTATATTTTGAACAGATTTATGACAGGGCTACACTATCAGCATGGAGGGTCCACAAGGCAGAAATGCAGTAAGGATAACAGGAGAGTGTCATGTAGACATTAAATAGTACAATTCTTTCCACATTCATAAATCCTAAGTGCCTACGGTTGTACCCTGCTGGTTATAAATTATGTAACTGAGTTATGCAGGGGAAAAAAAAAAAAAAAAAGAAACCTGGAGTGAGAAGTCATCTCCATAAAAACACAAATTTCATATTAAAGAAAAAGGAAAACAAGATTCAACTTACTTCACTGAGACAGCATTATTTATTATTTTAAGTCATTTTAATTGGTAACAAAATAAAATATCTCTTATAGAGTAAAACAACAAAACACATATGACTACTAATCAGTCTTTAGAAAAATAGAGAAAAGTCCTCACATTAATTTGAGGAATTGATAAACCCAAACAGCTAGTTTAACCATGTCCAGAAGCAAAAGAAGGTATTTTACCAAGTATTCTAATCTGTTTTGAACTGTACATCTGAGATTAATGTACCAACAAAGCTTTGAGGTATACCAAAAAAAAAAAAAAAAAGAAAAAAGAGTATCAAACTGAGTATACTTAATTGGAACACTTTTGATGTGTGTGTACACAATCCAATATATACTACAAACCTGTATTTACATGTCATGCATACACTTAAAATCCTCATTAGCAATGTTCAGCATTTCTAGCAATTAGTCATTGTCTACAATCTTTTGGCCTACAGAGCAAGCCTTGAAACTGTCTTGCTATTATTCATTATATTGCTAATCTAATCCCACACTGACTATAGCAAAACGAAAGACTGCCAAGGACTTCAGGAGATACTAAAGCCATTCATAAAAGATAATTGCATACTCAGGGGAAAAGCCTGGAGTAGGTTAGCTTGTGAGCAGTAGCTAATTATTTCTTGCTAGCTCTCTCAGTGAAAACACTTGTTCTGCAACTGTGCTTTTGCACTGTTTGGATTAATCCACTTCGGATGCTCAGAAGGCCATTTAATAGCCTCCCACCTGGTGTAAGACCCTTTAGCTTTGCTTGAGCCAAATTAGTCCACAGAGCTGAGGACCCAGCCCCTTGTCTACCTACTTTGAGCAGAGGTGACACCAGACAGTGTCTGTGCCGCCATCTACCGTAGGTTTTGCATAGCACTGCTTGGTCCAAAACTCGCAGGAATCGATCTGGTAATTCTTCCCCCTAATGGGCAGTCTCAATGACATGGACTACACTCCCCAAATATCTACCTGAATTTTTTACCCTGTAATCCTCGCTCAGGCAGAACTCCCACTACGGACTGCATGTTAGCTGCTGCTAGTTAACCATTGCTTATTGTGTTACCACTCTTCACCTACTACAATCTGTGCTGTAAATTTGAAGCCCATGTGCTTCTTAGCACTATTTATGGTTGCCTTAAAAGTCGATTAAAAATAATATAACACTCAATAATATGTCCAAATTTCCTAGATGCAGTTTATCACAAGTATCATGCAGCCCACTGAATGACGACCATATTATATCATGCAGCCTAGTGCATGACGACCATTAAACCCAAAGATTAACCATCTTCAAGAAAGCTTTCTAGGTGCAAATCGGGTAAGAATCTGCACCATGCAGTTCTCTCCAAGTTTACATATGGCTAAAGCTATTGTTGGTCATCCCAGATGTCAAGTTACAGCAATTTACTTTTTTAAATTACACTTTAGAGGTGTTTCCCCCCCCACCAAAATACTTAAGACTCCAGAAAGCAGCACAGCTGTCCTTGTTCATATACACAAATGATCCTACCAAGGAAAGGGATTTCACAGCTGTGGTGCTGAGGGACATGAGGGACAAACTATCACTAAAATGTTACTCTTTGAGAACAAAACTCCAGTTGCAAGGAACAATAAAACCAGACCTAAAAAGCATCCTGCTTTTACCTGGAGATACACACACTCCATTTCTCCTAAATGCTGCAAGTTCTCCTAGCTTCCTGACAGTGTGTTCAGAAGCCACCTCTGTTACCATTACCCTATAGGTAGAGAAAGGCTGATGGAAAAGTTCCAAGCAATCAAGTCGGAAAACATGCCAAAGTAAACTTTTATTTAGTGCACTTTACACAATATTTATAGAGCAAATCTAAGGATGCCGTTTGAGCCATTTTAAAGGCTGGGGACTAAGTTCTATTTTCTGAATGTTTATTCTGACTTTCTCCAACTGTTCTTCTTACTTGACAGTACTTAATTGGCAGTCAGCCATGAAAGCTGTTGTCTAATTACACAACATATCATGATCTTAGAGCCCTACAGATAAGGCTTTACTGCAGCATAAATGGACTTTAAACATTAGCATATGAGAAAAAGAAAATTAGCCCCCAAATTAGATTTCAAACAAAGTCTTGTGTGTCAATAGTAACTGTTATTTGTTTAGGAAAGCGTGATTTTGAAGGAGGAACTTCTATTAAATAGCCTTTAACATTAAACAGGCTACAATTTAGTGGGTTGGCTGGCTAACCCCTTATGCATGGCAGAAATTTGTTCACATGTAATTACACATTTTAGACTATCTTAATGATACCACATATTTGCATGGAATCAGTCCAGCTGGAGATTATGGCAGCACTCTGATTACACAGCTACATGGAAGTGATGAAAAGCACAGATTTTGTGAATCACTTGCAACATTTTGCTACAGACACCCTTGAAATTAAGACATGGTAACTGTCTACATGAATGGTCTCAGCTTATGTGCAGAAAACACAATTTCACACTGCAAGTTATAGTGAGTGTTAGAGGAAGATATAACTGTTTGACTTGTCTTCTACTAGCTAAAGTGTAATCATCTTGTGTTTAAAGATATTGTTGTATCACACTGTGGGGTCAGCAAGTTACATGCCCTAGGACGATGGGAGTCTTTTCTTCACTACTTGTAAACTTGAAAGACAGGATACATCTATGTGTAACACAACCATTGGTTTGCATTTATATGAAAACATAACAAAACAAAACACAACATTCTTCACCCCTTATGTAGATATTCTGCAGTTGTGAAGAATAGCCAGGACATCACCCAGAATGCCTGTTCTCTTTCTGGTACACTGTCTAGAACTCTAGGAAAAAGGAATCACATCCCAGAATTACAGGGAGTTGTTCATGCACATAGATCAAGAGTAGAAAGATGTATATGTACATTGCAGATTATGCTACCTCTTCTTCAGAAACTCATGCATGTGTGCAACTTTACTCACTAAACAATTCTGCAGGCTAAGTAGGGCTGCTCAGATGAGCATTTGCTTCTCTGAATATACTGTTGTCAATTCGGCCCCTTACAGACTGTGCTGCAGGAATATTCTACACAGCATGGCTCTGTGTTTTCAGTGATGCACACGTTTGCAGAATCCAGTTTGAGGGGAATCACGCTATCCTCTGCAAATACAAATTATCAAAGAAATACAGGGCTAGGACCTAGTTCCACACACACCCATTCAAGTGAAACCTTCATCAGATCTTTCTTTCAAGAATTTGGCTTCCTATGAAATATAAAAGGGAAATGGTAAGATTTGGCTGCCTTGATATCTAAAGCCTTTACAAACATTAAGCATATGACAGAGTATGAATGTGCCAGGTGGAGCAAGTGAAACAGTGACATGATACATCAGCTCTCTCCTCCCTGCTTGTACGCCTGTATTATGGGTATTTAATAGAAATACAGTGGAATTAACAGTAATGCCTCTCATACAGCAGGGCAACCTGCTGAAATATTCCATACTTTACACATTAGCTAACAGGGGAGCTACTTAAGTCACTTTAAGTTGTTTTAAATTAACGGGAAATTTATCTTCAGGTTTTTCTGTATTTATGAAAAACAACCCAAGAACCAAGGAGCGGTTCTCCACGAGCGGAACAAGTCAGAGTGCTTACTCCAACACTTGCATAACAGAGCTTACTTTTGCAGCACTATAGTGGGATGCAGTCACTTAAGAGTTACAATGCAATATATTGTGATTTACTACAATTGCTTCAGTTTGAGACTGCACAGGCAAGAAAACCGAATAAATGTTACATTTCTAGCACTGACAGCCAGAAATACATTACCAGAAGCACGCTATTACTAAAAGCCTCATTAGTACCACAGAAAAGCTGGAAAGTACAGCCATGGAAACAGCCATACGGCTTTTACTTTGAAATCATTTCTTCAAGAAAAAAAAAAAAAAAAAAGACAATGAAATGTGTGTGAGGTCTGCGCGAGTCCAGCCCCAGATGTTTACAATGGGGCGCGGAGCAGCACCGAGGCTGCCGCGAACCCAAGCGCAGCGCGGGTGCCAGCGGAGCGGCGGCGGGAGGAAAAGCCCCTTCCCCGGGATCGGGGAGGGGGGGCGCGGGGCAGGCAGCCGCGCTGGGGCTCGGAAAGCGAAGAGCGTGTGTGCACGGGGGGAGATGGGTGCATTGTTTTAATATAGCGTTCTCGTCGAGGCGCGTTAATGACAGGGGATAATGATTTTCAGATTCGGGAGACAATGTCGTCTCCCCCTTCTCCCAACCCCCCCATCCCCCCCAACCTTCGCTCCCCCACACGCTCCGCGCCACATCCTTTGCAAATCTTTTCTAATTTGCTCTTCTGCCAGGCAGCGGAGCGAGCGGCGCTCGGCGAAGCCATTTGCAAAGCAAATGCCTGCCGGAGAGCGCGGCAGAGGCGGGCGGGCAGCGGGGTCCCGGCAGAGCCCACCCCACCTCCGCCCCGAGCCCCCTCCCCGGCCCTTCCCCAGCTGGGGGCTCGGGCGCCGGGTTCGGGGGAGCCGCGGCCGGGGGAGCCGGCGTCCGAAGTCGGAGCCGTACTTACTGAAGGGGCAGTTCTCCTTCTTGGTGCCGCTGACCTTGCCGTTCTTCTCGATCTTGAGAAAGTACTTGTTGTAAGAGTAGAGCTTCCTCTTGCGCACGTCGCCTTGGAGGTGATTGTAGCTCCGCACGTGTCTCCCCGCACTGGAAGGAGAGGAGAAGGACGAGGGGAAGGAGGAGGATGATGAAGAAGAAGAGTTGGTGGCCTCCGGGGACAGCATGTCCTGGCCGAGGTCATGGCAGGTGACAGGCACAGAAGACACCAAGAAGAGCAGCAGCAAGCAGCAACAAGGCAGGTGGGAAAAGGCTGAGGCACCATTTGTCAGTATCCATTTGCACATTGTACTGAAACTCTGGGCGCTGGAAAATGTCTTATCAAAAGAAACATACTGGAAGGGTAAAACCTGGTAAAAAGCAAGTGGAGAGCCGGTGGTTGCTGCTTCTGGTTAGATCCCTCTGAGCTCTGATCTGGCCTGAAGTAAGTGCACCAACATCCATAACTCAGGGGACAAATCGCCTCAGAAGTTGCTGCCTTTTAATCCTTCGAGTCCTCCCTCAGAAAAAAGAGCTGTTGGTTTTTTTTGGGGGGGTTGCTGTGGTTAATCCTCTTTCCTTTTTCTCTTCCCCTCCCCACCCCCCCCACCACATACACACACACTCCCCAACCTGGTTTGAGACTTCCCAGTAGTTATTTTGTTCTCTTCCTCACTCCTTTCTTCACCATCTTAGATGCAGAAAGGTCTGAAAAATAGATGACAGCAAAGTGAACAACAACAACAACAAAAATAAATAATAACCAGCGGAAAGGGGTGCTGGAAGGGATTTTTCACACACACCCCTTTACACACACACTCGCACTCACACTTTGTGGCTTTGCACCTTCTTCTGATCCCCACCCCCTTGCCTTTTTGCAAATCCCAAACCAGTTGCACAACTCGTCCTTTCTCACTGACAACCCCAGAGGAGGCAGTTTCTTTGTTTTGCTTTGAATTCTCCAGAACAGTATTAAAAAAAAAAAAATCCAGAGAGAGAAAGAAAGAGAGGGAAAAATCCCAACTTGTCTCCCCCCCTTCCCTTTCCTTTCCTTTTCCCTTCCCTTCCCTCCCCCTTTGGTTGTAAACAGGTTGGAAGCTGTAGCCTAAATGTCAGCGATTACAAGTCAGAGGTGGGATGTGCCTCTGGTGGTCAACCCTTATTTGCAGGGGGTCAAGCAGCGGTGGGACATCTGAAACCCTTTTGCAGTTGGAGCGAGCAGTGCCTGCTGCGGAGGGAGCCTCAGGAGCTGCCCTGGCTTCCTCCGAGCGGCAGCGGCAGCAGCAGCCGCCGCCGCCTTCAGCTCGCTGCTAATTGCTCCTAAAGCGTTCTTCTCGGAGTGCTGGCCACCAGCATGGCTTGGAGACTCATGCCTTACTAATTTCCCTGTCTTACAGGCTGAACCAATCCCCTCCAGGGAGGCTACCTTCCCCCTTCGCCCCCCCCTCCAAGGAAAGAAAGAAAGAAAAAAAAAAAAAAAAAAAAAGAACTTGTTTTCTAGCGGAGGATTTTATTTTATTTTTTGGCAGTGAAGTGCTTGAGAAAGCCACCTGGAGCTTGTTGCCTGCTAGATCTCCCCCTCCCCCCTGCTGGAGGAGGGGTTGGTGGAGGGGCTGGAAAGAAGTATATACTACAGGCAGACCCTGGAAAAGCAGATTATATGCTGGTCGGAGAGAGTAAAAAGGGAAGAGACATAATTAGCTCCTTTTCCTTCTTCTTTGCCAGCTTCCATGGAGGTCTTTCTCCCTCCTTTAATGAATCACTGATTTCTCGCTTCCGTTGCTGAAATAAAAAGTTCACACTTTAGCCTGCTCTTCCTTTTAAGCCTCTCAAGATTTATTGTGTCTCTTTCCCCACCCTCACCCTCCTTGTCTCAAAAGAAATCGGGGCCCTAAATGACCATTTTCTAATTGCTAACATGAGTCATTTACCGAATCACGCGTCTGACTTCAAAGCAAAAGGGGCTTTATTGGGATTGCAAAGGTTTCCCCATAAAATCTGTCTGAATGTTTTGCTGTCCTTTTTTTTTTTTTTTTTTTTTTTTAATTAACTAATGCAGTTTCCTTTGCCAGAGAGAAACACATTTTCCATTCCAAGGCTATTTTAAAGCGATTTTTCAAGCTATTATTTTCCTGGAGGGGCATATGTTGTTGGTTTTTCCTTTGATTCTGTCTCTCCTAATGGATTTGTCATTTCACATACTGAATGTTATGACAGATTCATATTTCTATCCCGTCACCGAACTGTCAGCTTTCCCAGTAATTAACAGGCATCTTCCATATGATGTACTATCTTTTAACACCATAACAAGGGATCAGGGACTGACAGGATATGGGTGAGCATGCTAGACGTCGAATGTTGGTTCATTATTCAGTATTGTAAAATAACTGTTTTGGAATGCAAGTAGGTGGAACATTCACTAAGAGGACAGAGCAGCAGAGAAGTGAACCAGTGCAGAAACACAGGGAGTTACTCAATATGTAAAACCAAAACTTTTTTTGAAATACAGGCAGTTTAATAATGCAGATCAGTGGAATGCAATGGAAAACCGCCTGTGCAATTACATGTGGCATTTGGAGTCAGTCTTAATTTAAACAACAGAAAATCCAGAAAGGAACAAATAGTTCTAAAATTAGACTGATTCATTAGATTAGGATGTTAAATATATTGTTAACTTCACAACAGAAATTAGAAATGATTTTCTCCAATTATGGTGTTTATTCTGGAGAGAGTTAGCTCTTAAATTTATGTTCTCAGCTTCTGGGGGTGACATTTAAACAGCCTTAAAAATGAAACCATTTAATGTTAGAATCAATATGTTTTATGATGTTGTTTATGGTACTTCAGAGTATTTATTCTGCACGTATTTGCACTGAGTGCAGAGCATTTCAGAAAATTTTTGGTGAATCTGACTTAGGCTTTTCTTTTGTAGCAACTAATAAAAAAAGAAATAAAAACTAAATGAAAAGCAAAAGCCTACTTCTTGGTGAATGCCTGACAGCTTACGTGTATGTCTGCAAAGCTACTGTCAATGTTCACTTGCTGTTCAGGTCATGAATACAATATATTATCTCTAAAACTGAAGTGCTTTTGATTCCAGCAGATTAAAGAATAAATAAATGCCATAATGTTTTAAAATTATACACTTGAAGAAACCTTTAATTTTTGTGCTTTTTTGTCAAAAGCTGAAAAATGCAATGAATTGACATTTTAGGATCTCTGGTGACAAGAGAAAATAGAAAGGTCAAACAGACATATTTAACCCCAATTCCTCTAAAAACAGGTACTATCTTGAATTGGTTCCTCTCCAGAAGAGGTCTGCTTAAACCTATATCTAGTTTGTGATGGATTGTATATCGATTTTAAAATCTTATGGTTAAATACAAAAGCTACGTGTCCAGAATTTCATATTAAATTTGCTTCTGTCAGGTGCAATATTCAGAGCAGTACTTAAAACTACTTCAACGCATAGGGAATGCGTTTCTATCCCGTGTGATGACAGGGAGGGCATTAACAAAACGGAGTCCAAATGAAAAGCTGACATAGCTTTTTAGATTATATCTCATTCTTTTTTTCTACATTCTGTATAGCCTTTCTTTTACAGCACAGTTGAATCCCTAAATACCCCACTACTTTGTATTGTTAGGTCACCTCTTAGGTTAGCCTGAGAAAGCCTGAGAAAAGTTCCACAGGAAAGATGCACTATTTAACGGAATTCAATCTGTCCCAATAGATTTGAATCACTAACATAAATGTATGAATGTAGATTATATCTCTGTAATGAGGCCTGAATCATTCTCAGTTACTTCAAAGGACTGAAATTCAACCTTCCTTTTTAGCAGCAACAATCAGACCTTAATGGGTTCCTTTATTAATTGTTCCATTGCTACGTTTGAAAAGCAGCTACCTTCAGTCTGTGTCCTAGACTAGAAATGGTACCTGCTGCTTCTAAAACAGTGTTTCTGTTTTGACTTCTACTCTCTAAGATTTGGTTTCCTTTTCTGCAATTTTAGAAATGCTGAATAATCTTGACCCACCATGAATGAAATAAAGAAAATCCCTTTCTAAAAACAATGTGCAAAAAGTAGAACATATGTTTTAAGCATTTTCCTTTTGGGCTCTTTTATTGCCAAGGAATGTTCAGGGAAATGAATTGCACAGGTGAATGAAAAATAATCTCAACACAATATTTTTTTTTATATTTGTAGCAATTGCTTGTGTCATGTTTTGCCTTTTGATCAGCAAGGGAGGGTTTTGTTGTTGTTGTTTTTCTTTCCTGTGTTAAGTAATTGACTTGAATCCAAGAAGGAGTATTTTAAGGTAGCTGGAATAGATTTTGCCTTGTATGATTTCCCTTAGGCAAGTCTTTATCTTTTCTGGTGTTGTAAATAAGTTCTGTGTATGTCTTTGAGTGTTAATATAATCAGCTAACTCTCAAATATCACCAGCCCCTTAGGTTGGGCTGTTAGCAATCATGCCCGTTTGCTGCTTACAGTATGATGAGAGATGCACATGCATCTTCTGGTCATGGGATCCAATTCTGTTCTTATTCAAGGTGTTGGGAAATTCACCAATGTTTTCAGTGAGAGAGATCTGGGCTAGGAACCTGACTGACAGAGAGACAGTCCTGTTGGAAGTGAGGCAAGGAATGCCAAATGACAGTGATGGTTCAGATGTCTCCATCTATATGACTAACTGCTGAACTTGGCTGTGTTGCAAAATGCTAATCACAGTTGTGAAGAAAAGGCGGTAGCACATGATGTCCACAATAGCCAGCCAGCAATGAGACAAGCCATTTGATTCAGGTTGCAATGTTGCTTGCTGAAATCTTTATACTGGGTAAAGAGTTTGTGGCCAGCAATAGCAGAGATTAAAGGCCATAGCATTTTATCTGAACGAACTGTGCCTTAAAGCTTGAGGGTAACTATGTCATGGAGCTTGAAGGAAATAATTGTTGCAGTTGCTTTCTTCTGAGAAATCTGTGAAATCACTATTGTTATATTTGTCTTCCTTTTTCACCTCATAGCATACCTCCATGCCATTTAAGAAGTGTCCAAATACTAATATTATTCTAATTTTACATATAGAACAAGATATAAATTAAGTCCTTAAGTTGTCAAAGAGAAAGATTGAAGGAGGTGTATGCCATATACCTCATCCATATGAAACTGGAATAAGACATCCAAAGACAGCATACCATTTCAGCTGCCTGTAGTGGGATTTTGTAGTGTGTGGGATACATGGCTGAGCTCCTCTGTGCACATTCCTTTCAAGCTAAGCATCCAAAACTGGAAAAGAACTCCAGCAGAGTTTACACAGAGTTTAATAAAATGGACATGTCAGCATTTATTTTTTATTTAAAAACCATTTGCATTTCTAGGTCAGACATAACAGTAGACAAATGCAAAAAGAACCTGAGATAAACAGAATTTAGCTAAGGCAAACCTGGTTCCCCCTGAGTATACAGAATCACTGCTGAGAATAGTCAAGTGCCTTGCCCATGCTGTTAATAGTCCTCAGAATGGTGCTTATTCTCAGAGATCTGGTTGAAGCACAAAGGGCTGTCTGGGCTAGCACTGCCACTGGCAATATGTAATGATCATCTAGCATATACTATCTCATGTTTTAATACAGAATCAAAATATGGCACCTCTTAGGACTACAAGGGTCATATTCTTCTGAACAGATGTGTGAATTGTGGGATGAGCAGCATTTGGTCATTGTGATTTACCTCATTACTTAGGTTGGATGTGTTTTCCACTCTTGGATGTATTGGAAAAGTTGTCTGAATGATGCACTTCAAGCAGACGATTAAGAAAATTGTTTATTCTTCTTAAAATGCTAATTATGGCTATTCTCTTGGAGTATGTTTATAGTTATGCTATGCCTGGCAAAAGAGATCTGCAAATAATGTATGTGTGATGGTTGAAAATATCTGTGTGATTTGTGTTTGATAAATACAGCTTAAAGAAAAAAGTAAAAACATGCATTCTACAGAGGTCATCTAGACTACAGATCCCAGACAATGAGCTGTAGTAGTAGCTATGTGCATGGGTTAGACAGTGACTGTGTTTAGTAATGGTCTGCTGGCAGCCAGTTTTACTTTGCAGAAGAAAAATTAAAAAGGCAATATTTTCAAGGAAGGATTTGTTTTTCTTTCTAATTTCATACAGAACTACCAAGAATACAGGCCACTTAAATATTGTCTATAAATATGAGTGATTGAGAACAAAACCATACGAAACTGCCAGGAAGGGGTAAATGCCAGTGAGGTCTGCATAATTCTCCCTCCCTCCCTCCCTCCCTTCCTTCCTTCCTCCAATCTCATCTAAGCCTAAATTTTCCATTGGAAGAACAATGATGACTGAGGAAATACTTTGTGCCTTCTGATAGTCACACTACACACATAAGCCAATACACCAATACACCCAT